GCCCTGGGTCTCCCGGCGGCCCTAGGACGCCGCATTTGGGGGCCGGTTCTCGCCGCGCATCCTCTGCCTGGGTAGGGGCTGCCAGGTGTGCGGGCAGCCGGGAGCAGGTGGGGACACCGGGGGAACGGGCAGTCCCAGCCGTGCGAGTCGCCACAGTCGCAGTTCCTGGCAGGGCTCTGGTGTTGGTCGCGGGGGCTGCGGGGCAGGTAGTCACTCCGGTCCCGACGGGATTGGGTGTAGGAAGAGACCTGCTGGGCTTTGAGGAGTGAGTTGCTTGGGACGATGGAAGTCGTAGGGAGGAAGAATGTTAGCTCCAGCCCCACCTCTGTCTCTGGTTTTATTGCTGCGCTTTGACACTTAAGCAACTTTGGGGTTGGAGATGGAAAGGGGTTTGTGTAATTCATTCTTTTCCTTTGGCATCCAGAATTGTTAATTTGCAAAACTGTAAGTTAATGGTATGAGTCACCTCTTCTGATTTACTGAATTTCCGACCTAGTGAAAAAGACAGTGTTAAGGGTTATGCTTTGAGGCCATAGTGTAATTTAGTAAGTTTTGTGTGGTGGAGCAAAGCCAGCCTTGAATGGGGTCCGGACTGAAACGTGTGCTCTTGTTTATGTTTACTGAAGAGTGCTAGTGTTCCGCTGGCGTTTCCACGCTGAGAGTATTGGCCCGGCGGCAGTGGTTTGGCTTTCAGTTACAGTCCAGGCTTGTTGAAGAGACACATGAATATTCAACTGTTAAATTGGTAGTGTCCTGCGGGGGGGAGAGCTGGAACAGAGAATCGGAAGGCCTGGTCGCGACCCTGCCCTTGCCAGTTACTGGGAAGTCTCGAACTAGTCAAGTTACTTAATCTTTATGAGCTCCACTCCCACCACTGTATAGAGGGGAAGATGATACTTCTACTTACATATTTCGTAAGATTGTCCTGAGGCCCAAATTAGCCAATGAATGTGAAATGCTGGTTAAACAAGGCATTTTTTTGAAGGCCAACCATATAGTGTAGCACTGTTTCATAAAAACAATAAAAAATAAGTATTTCAAATATAAAACGTGTACTCATAAAGATGTGTGTAAAATTACATATAAGTAAAATCCTTAAGGTCCAACACTTGTAGATAAGCCATTGTAAGTAAGAGATCATAGCTACGTTATACAGGTCTTGTTTTCAGATGGGATATGATCTTTGACCTTGTTAGTATCATTTGGAAAAAGTTGCACTTGAAGAAGTGTTGTTAGTTCTAAGAATAGCATTGGAACTACTTAACATGCTAAACCTGGTCTGAGTCCTTTTGTTTCTTTAAAATAATTTTCAAATTCTTATTTGTTAAGGCCTATGTGGGACCTGGACTTTAAAAAACTCAATAGTTTGCTTTTGGAAATTGTGTACCATTTGAGAGAATAATGTAGTTTATATTTTAACTTTGTCTTTAAAATTAGCTGGCATTTGTAATGTTAAACGAGTTAATATGTACACTTACCTGTTGAGATTTTTAAGAGATGGTCTGAAATCATATTCATTAAGGATAGGTGAAATTCTCTTTTTTTTAAAATTGATGTATAGTTGATTTACAATGTGTTAGTTTCAGGTGCACAGCAAAGTGATTCAGTTATACATACATATATATAAATAAATGTACTCTTTTCAGATTTGTTCCATTATAGGTTATTATAATATATTAACTATAGTTCCTTGTGCTATACAGTAGGACCTTGTTGATTATCTATTTTATATATAATAGTGTGTATATGTTAATCCCAAACTCCTAATTTATCCCTCCCTCCCCCTTTGATAACCATAAGTTTGTTTTCTATGTGTGTTTTGTAAATAAGTTTATTTGTATCATTTTTTTAGATTTCATATATAAGTGGTATCATATGATATTTGTCTTTCTGTCTGATTTACTTCACTTAATATAATAATCTCCAGGTCCATCCATGTTGCTGCAAATGGCATTATTTTATTCCTTTTTATGGCTGAGTAATATTCCATAGTGTGTGTGTGTGTGTGTGTGTGTGTGTGTGTGTGTGTGTGTATACATATAATAATTTGATCCAGTTACCTGTTGATGGACATTGAGGTTGCTTCTATGTCTTAACTATTGTAAATAGTGCTGCTATGAACATTGGGGTACATATGTCTTTTCAAATTAGTTTTCTCTGGATATATTGCCCAGGGCATTGATTGCTGGATCATATGGTAATGTTATTTCTAGTTTTTTAAGTACCCTTCATACTGTTCTACATAGTGCCTGCAAGGATAGGTAGTATTCTCTTAGGCATAGTATTATTCAGTAGAAAGAACATTGGCTCATTGGGGTTTGTGGAAAAATGCCAACATATTTGTGACGACATGCAGGGTTGATTCAGTACGGTG